AAAATCAGCCCTCCCCCTCACCTCTCAGGTACAGATAAGACCTCCTTGCCCAGGTAGTTACTCACTGATATGGAGATGAACTTCTCTCCACCCCTGAGGAATGAGGCAAACGCACTAACGCCATACTTCTTTCCACCTCTGAATGCCTATTGATATGCAGATGAATTAAAGCCAGGTGAGACATTCTGGAAATGTTACAATTTTACCCACAGGCCACCCCTCCAGAAATCTTGGCTTACAATTTACTTGTTCCCCCTCTTCGGACCAATCTAGTAACGTGCAATAGCAACAGCAATAAAATCTTGATAATTCTCAAGCCAGAGGATTCAGCCTATGCAGACTGAGTAAATGTACTTTACAGCACAATCTCTCACTAAGCACAAAATGTTTCTACACTTGTTTACTCATTACTAACAACTATGCTAGATTGCTCACAAAACTTTTACTAAACATTAGACAAAGTCAAGCCTCTCTTTAAGCATTTTTTTCTTGACAACAGCAACACAATCATGATAATTCTCAAGCCAGAGGATTCAGCTAGGTTCAAAGTCCCACGCAGATTAAGTCCAAAGCTCATCCATTCCAGCTATCAGGTGGCAGCTGCAGCCAGAGGGTGCATCCAGGACGCACGGACTGTAGAAGCAAATAACCATGATTGTGGGGGGCCACTTTTCTGTTATTCCAGGAATACATAGGAGACCAGCTTCCAGGCCTTTTCTCCAAGGTGCCAGAAGAGCCAGCGATCACCCATCCATGTGTCGAAATGTCCACATTTTATGAAAGGGTCACATCCATTTTACTCCTAATTGCTGCACCCATCCTTGCAATGCATGTCTAATAAAGTGGGTACCTTATTCGCTCTCAATCACCAGCAATCAGCCATAGGCTGCAAAGAGATGCTTTAGGCCCCTCTTGGTGGTTTGCTGATCTGCACAATGTGCAGGGCACTCCTTTTGGGCTCAGCTGACGTCTTCAAAGGACAATGGCAAGCCCCACTGATGGGCTACAGACCACATTGTCTTTTGCCCCACGTGCAACAGACAGTGAAGTAGCCATTGAGCCACGTCAGAGGCAGGCTTTCCTTCTAGCCAGTGCACCTGGGCCAATGTGTCTGCTTCATCATTCCCTGGGGATGCCAAAGGCAAATGGCAAGTCACATGATATACAGTAGATGTCTGTGCCACAGCACTCCGTGGTCTTTGGGTCCAGTCTCTCACCCATCCCGTGATGGGATAGTTGGTTATTATCTTGGTTGGAGCTGTTCCGGCAATGGGCTCATTAGTCAGCAAGGTGTGGTACACAGCAGCCAGTTGCTTCTCTATCAAAGTGACCCAGACCTCTGCTCCTTTCCATAGTTGTGACCAGGCTCCAGCTGGCAGCAGGAGCAGCAGCAGTGGCAGAAGCAGTAGCCTTAGACTTGGGCCACAGGCCAGGGTTGGCGCAGCTAGCAAGCGTAGTAGTGCCTCCATGACTACACGAGTGTAGACACATGTCCCTCGGTGTGAGCACTACTTCTCCCCATCATTTCTCGGGGCGGCCCACCCAAAGGTCACACCCATTATGACAGATTTCAGGTTCAGAGGAGCCCTGCCAACTATGACAGATGTAAGTCCAGGGAGAGGAAATCCCAGGGCAAAATACCTCTAAAAACCGAAATCAGTCAAAGGGAGAAATAAAGTTTAAAATCTGTTTACTGCTCACAAACTGCAGTCTGGGGCCATTTCTCTCTTTCCTGCTCCAGCAGAAACCAAAAACCAGCCCTCCCCCTCACCTCTCAGGTACAGATAAGCCCTCCTTGCCCAGGTAATTACCCACTGATATAGAGATGAACTTCTCTCCACCCCTGAGGAATGAGGCAAATGCACTAAAGCCATACTTCTTTCCACCTCTGAACGCCTATTGATTTGCAGATGTACTAAAGCCAGGCACAATATTCTGGAAATGTTACAATTTTACCCACAATGTTATTTCATTAAGAAAAACATTCCAATCTCTTATAAGCTTGTGAAAACAACTAGTCATTCTGAGAACATTATTTTATTAAAGATTTAATATCCTGAAATTTTCATTTGTTTTCAGTTTAAAAGAAAATATGTTTTCATTTAATTGATCATTAAAAGTTTCATGCTAAGAATGAATAACCATGAATAGTTGAACAAAGATTTCTGCTTTTTTCATGGTTTCATCTGAATTACAGGTAACTTGTCAATTATTAACTAACATCGTCTTGAGCAGAGATCTTGTAATTTAAGATTTAATATACATAGATTATATATATTAATTTAATACACATAACTATATGACCAAATTTGTGTTTATGACCAAACTTAATAAGGTACAGAGCAGATCTCATACTTTCTATGATTTTGTCTATTTTAAAAAGAAATTCAAAAAGTTTAATTCACATGGAAAATGTGCTCTAATATTTATGCTATAACAGTTCTTTTGTTCCATCACCAACTTACCTCAACCAGCCAAGAGAATAACAAATGATATGCAGTTTTCTATCATTTCTATTATGTGGCTATTTTTGCTAATCCGTTCCAGAATCCTTAGAATCATTTAACTCAGTAATGTACTGTTTCTTTATAAATGATAAATTAGATTTGAGAAATTAAACACTTGTTTGCTTATGCAATCTATAACAGGAATTTAGAAAAAAAAAAAAAAGAAAAAACTACTTCTTTACAGAGAAACCACGGATTAAGTCAAATGTTTGACTACTTACAAAATGAATCATCAAGTTGCCACAAACTCTCTTGTTGGAAAAATATATACAAGTTTTTAAATATATGGAGAACCTCATGGAAGACATATATTAAAATAAACATATTGGAAAGGTGACGATTCTTCAAATAAATATGACAACTCCATTAAAATGCAACACACGTTTTACAGCAAAAAAGGAAATCCAAGAAGATGAAATAGATGCTTTATATAAAATATTTACATATACAATGCAAAAAACCCACTACGGTTAGTAACCTTTGTGGCTTTGAAGAACCAGATATTTACATATCATTTTTGCTGCATGTGCGTGTGAGTATGTGTGTTTTGTATATATTTTTAACAGTTGACAGCTGTTTTAGAGCATACAGAGATGCCAAGCTGAATGAGGGTCTTGATTACTTCAAGATTAGCTATCTAAAGTTTCTATTCATTTTAAGTGTTGTTAGTTGGAAGAGTCATTAGTCACTTCCTTGTCTCATAGAACATCAGCATACATTTACATTGTTAATGAACATTTGGGGTAAATGAATTAATGGCACTTTCAAACATCAATTCAGTCCTAATAACTCTGTATGTCATAGAAATGTTAGTCTAGGATATAAACGGAAAGCCTTTTCAGTAAAGGTAACTACTCATTCCTGCAAACAATGAAGGATAAAATTAATTTAAAATGTTTGTTAATTGGTTAAAAAAAAAGAGAACCTCAATATTTAATGAACTAGACCAGAGAAAAATATGTACTTAAAAAAAACAAAACCTGTGCTCTAAAATAAGCATATTAACCAGAAAATTTTGGTGAAACTTTTTTACATACTTGTCACACAAAAACATATTCACCTTTAAAAACCCAACTTACAGAAGTGCTTATAAAATAAATTGACTTACTTATGAATGCTTCTTATAGGTATTACATTTAAGAAATAACATCACTAAGAAAGGTAGTATTCTTTCCACTGAAATTTTAAAATGATGAAACTGAAATGGGACACTAGCAATTTTTTTATATTATCAATACCTTAAAACAGTAGTCTTTTTGAGACCTTTTAAATAAAAGCAACTATAATAATAAAAATAAAAACAGAAAAATAAGTTGTACAGTAAATTATACTATTTTCATTAAAAACAACAATGGCATTTATATGATATAGAAGGTATTTAACAGAGAATACAATTAATGACTCTGTAACATCTTACTACGTTGATAGTGACTGCAATGGAGGAGGTGAGGACTTGATAATATGGGTAAATGTTGAAACACTGTGTTGTATATTTGAAATGACCATAAAATTGTCTACCAATGATACATTAATATAGAGAAAAAATAGATGCACAAAAGACATAAACATACTCCTTGAAGTAAAGAGCTTACGTAATAAAGAAATAGCCACTTTAAAGAACCAATCATCTTTTAAAATTTTCAAAACATGAGTTAATGACATACCTTTAAATCAATACAGAAAAAAACCCTGTATTTTAAGCATACAAAACAGTTACTTTCATTTTTAAAAACAGCTCTCACAATCCTAATACATGTATTCATGAATAAAAAAAACAAGTAATTACCTGAGTCAGTGAATTGACTTTATCAAACATTTAATGAATTAGTTGAAAATAAGGGAAAGCCTTCAAGAATTCTCAAAAAAAAAATATCATTGTTTTCTTCTAAGATACTATATTATTAATCCTAAGAAAATAATACAGAATTCTGATACACACATACTTCATTAATTTTTTATAATGTAGACCCTAAAGGTTACCTTTTAAAAGTCTGTCATTAAACGATTTCAGTATACAGTTCTTTAAAAGTATGACACAAATTTCAATTATTTTGAAATACAAAAAAAAAGAAAAAAAAAGAAAAAGGAGAATCAAGCAAATCTTTTATCCTGGAATAATATTAACTTGCTGGAGGGACAAAAATATTCCAGCAAAATCAAAACTAAAAAGCTTAGACTTCTTCAAAAGATGTTTGACAAAGGCCATTTTGCATTTCAATATTCTTATGCTGAGCAATAGTTTTCATTTATAATTTTTTTAAAAAACAATGATAGTTCATTAAACATTTGGCAAATACTTCCATCTATAACTGAAAGTTGACTTTTCATGGTATTCATTAGCGTAAGAGTGCTCTATACTTACACAGGGAAATGTTTTTAAAGTTGCCTGCTCAGCTTCAGCTACCGATTTACAAATAAGGCAGGCAGAACTAACTGGAAGCCTTCTGCTATGTGTCCCAATAACAGCAGAATGTATCTGCATACAAAACTCACCTCCAGACTTGGAGTAACTCCACAAAGGGTCAATGCCCACTTCTTGTTCTTCTGGCTGCAAAGGATGTCTAGTTTCAGATAAGGAATGATACATTGTGAGAACTGGAAAATGTCACCAAAAGTGACTACCTGGGAAATGAAAAATAGAGAAAAATGATAACTATTCTTTCTTCTATGATTAGGAATTAATACAAATCTGAAATGAATAAAACACTATTACAGATATTAACAAGTTTTCCACAGGCTCTAGGGATTGTTACTACACATTAGAAGAAGAAAAACATGGTACAGAATTTCCGTTTCAACAGCTTCTCCTCAAATTTGAATTTCACTGAGGAATCTTTTACCTCAATGTTCAGTCACATTTATTTTCAATAAGCTTCCACACAAAAACTTGAATTTTAAGTTAAATTAATGGCATATTTATAATATACTTTTGTTTTTCTGCCAAAATAATATCTACTTATAATAGAAACGTTCAAAATATAGAGAATACAGCAAACTACAATTATTCATAATTGGATTAGCTAAAAACACCACTGTTAACATTTCAGTTCATTATACATGTTCTTCCTTTGTTCTAAGCATTTAAAATGCATATATTTTTAATGTGATCCATTATGCTAAACATACTGATTATACATATTATTGTATTTTCCTTTCCATAAAAAAGTTTGTGGTGTCACTTATAATGGAGTCCTAGTATTCCACTATATAGCTATAATAATTTATGTAACCAATTCATTATTAGTAAACAATTAGGATGCTTTCGGTTGTTAAATACTATAAACAACCTCACAATGAATAGCTTTTAGTACTATTTGAGTCACACCCATGATTATTTCCATAGAATAAATTATTTTAAGTGTAATAACTAGATCAAAACATGTAGTTTCAAAAAATAAAAATTTGTGATAAGTTTTGGCAACTTCCATTACAGAAAGATTTGTACATAATGAACAATTCATTTCCCCTGGATACTCATTAACAATAATAATGAGTAGTTCCTTTTTTGGGGGGGGGGAGGGGAGTCAGTATTAGAGTCAAATTTTATATTGCATTTCCTTGATAAGTAGTGAGATTACTGAAGACTTCATAACTTCATGTTTTCTCTGACATTTGTTTATTGCCTTTTTGTGGATGGAGATTATTAGTTTGATTGTCTTCATGATTTGCAAGCATGCTTTAAATGCTAAGGATATTAAACCTTTGTCATATGATACATATATTTTTCTCAGAGTTTATATGTCTTCAAATTACATGGTGTTTTTGTGCATAAATAATTTTTTCATTTATATACCCAAATATATCATTTATGATTTCTGCTTCTGGTATTATACTTACAAAAGCAAAATTATAAATAAGCACCTATATTTTCTTTTATAATTTTGAAGGTTTTCCTCAATTATCATTTCTGTAAATAATTCCAATTCAAACAAAGCTTTTTCTTTGAAAATTAATTTTGAATATGCAAGTTACACTAACCACATATAAAATTTCCTATCTCTATAAAGTACAAATGACCTTTCCAAATCAGAACCTTTCAAAAAATAAAGTGGGTTCACTAATTTTCACCCAAAATAATGTAAGTTACATCATCTTTTAAATTTTAAGAAAAGGAGGACATGACAGGAAAAGTAAATGTGGAATAAGTTGGAAAAGCAGATGTGAGCAAAGTGAGTATGTAATTTTACAGGGCATGATCTCCACTTACAAAGGAAAAGTTCCATAGAGGCCTATGAATACTTAAATCCTTGGCCAATCTTTTTTCCAACACAAAATGCCCCTCTATCCTGTTCACTTTCTCTCTAAAACTCTCACTTGTAAAATACTCTTGTATACCTTCTGATTTTTATCAGACCCTCCAACTTTCACCCACCCATACTCACAGTCAGATGTTAAAAAAATAATTTCCCCCTTGGATTGTTGCAAAAACAAAATAAGCAGAGGGTCAGGCAAAACCAGCACTAGGGAAAGCAAAAAAGTTTCACTACCAACAGAGTAAGAATTTCTAAAGCCATAAACCTTAAAATTAATAAATCTAGACAGTTCTTAGTATCAGCTTCTTATGCATGCAAACCAATGAGCACATACGAAGCACTCAGTGTACAGGAGGTGTTTCAGGGAATATGATGTGGCAGAGGACAGCAAAATGTAGATGACCCGTCATAAAGCCAAACCTAATGAATTCTACTGATCAGATGAATGAAGAGCTTAAGAAACAAAGTCCTTTATTGTACACATAATGGTCACCAAACTCAAATGCCTAATGGAGTCAGACAAAAAGCATTATTAATCAAAATTGACATCTACTGAGCCATGAATGTATCCCAAATCCACTCTAAATGCCTTATGTGTGCTCAAGTCATACTCCCAACAGCCCAATGGTGTATCTTCATCATCACTTGCATTTTACCAAAGAGAAAACTGAGGTATAGAGATGCTGGGGGAGCGTTGTGTATTTTCCTCAGTCCTTGTCCCTGAATGATTTCTGCTTCTGGTATTATACTTACAAAAGCAAAATTATAAATAAGCACCTATATTTTCTTTTATAATTTTGAAGGTTTTCCTCAATTATCATTTCTGTAAATAATTCCAATTCAAACAAAGCTTTTTCTTTGAAAATTAATTTTGAATATGCAAGTTACACTAACCACATATAAAATTTCCTATCTCTATAAAGTACAAATGACCTTTCCAAATCAGAACCTTTCAAAAAATAAAGTGGGTTCACTAATTTTCACCCAAAATAATGTAAGTTACATCATCTTTTAAATTTTAAGAAAAGGAGGACATGACAGGAAAAGTAAATGTGGAATAAGTTGGAAAAGCAGATGTGAGCAAAGTGAGTATGTAATTTTACAGGGCATGATCTCCACTTACAAAGGAAAAGTTCCATAGAGGCCTATGAATACTTAAATCCTTGGCCAATCTTTTTTCCAACACAAAATGCCCCTCTATCCTGTTCACTTTCTCTCTAAAACTCTCACTTGTAAAATACTCTTGTATACCTTCTGATTTTTATCAGACCCTCCAACTTTCACCCACCCATACTCACAGTCAGATGTTAAAAAAATAATTTCCCCCTTGGATTGTTGCAAAAACAAAATAAGCAGAGGGTCAGGCAAAACCAGCACTAGGGAAAGCAAAAAAGTTTCACTACCAACAGAGTAAGAATTTCTAAAGCCATAAACCTTAAAATTAATAAATCTAGACAGTTCTTAGTATCAGCTTCTTATGCATGCAAACCAATGAGCACATACGAAGCACTCAGTGTACAGGAGGTGTTTCAGGGAATATGATGTGGCAGAGGACAGCAAAATGTAGATGACCCGTCATAAAGCCAAACCTAATGAATTCTACTGATCAGATGAATGAAGAGCTTAAGAAACAAAGTCCTTTATTGTACACATAATGGTCACCAAACTCAAATGCCTAATGGAGTCAGACAAAAAGCATTATTAATCAAAATTGACATCTACTGAGCCATGAATGTATCCCAAATCCACTCTAAATGCCTTATGTGTGCTCAAGTCATACTCCCAACAGCCCAATGGTGTATCTTCATCATCACTTGCATTTTACCAAAGAGAAAACTGAGGTATAGAGATGCTGGGGGAGCGTTGTGTATTTTCCTCAGTCCTTGTCCCTGTCGCAACAAAGAACAGAAGGGCAGAGACACAGCAGTGAAGCAGAGTAAAAGTTTTATTTAAAGTTACTTAGAGAAAAGTGCCGCAGGCAACCTAAGAGAGGAGAGGCGCCCTGAAAGGTTGGAGAGAGAAAGTTTAAAGTTAAAAGGTTACACACTTAGAAAGTGTGGGCGACCTCAGAGAGAGGAGCACCCCGTAAGGCTGGGGGTTTCCCCTTTTAAGGATTCTTCAGGAATGTGACTAAGGCCTGGAGGTGCAGACCTTTTAAGGGAGAGATTAGGTAATTCGTCTACACTCATACTGCAAGTGTCAAAGCCAAGCAGGAATTTGACCCATGCTGTGTGGCTCCAGAGCTCACACTCTTTACTCCTATACTACTTTAGGCTCTCAATAAGTCAATGAGACAAACACACAGGACATAAAACAAGGGCATATAAGAGGATGGGATCTGTAAATAATTGGAACACCCTTTTCTTCACTTCAACTATTTCAAGACAAGCTAGAATTCCAGAATTTTATGTGAAATCTCTTTACTTCTAAGCATTAGCAAATAATTTTCTTAAAAAAAAAACAAACTGTGTAGAGCACATTAAACACATTTCAAAATTGTATTTTGCCCATGGGCAACTAGTTTAAGATTCATATTCTCTATTCATTTTGTTTTACTTTTAAAAATATGAAATTAAACATTTGAAAATGCATATTTCAAGTTCGCTAACAGATTTCTTTAAATTTTCTTTACTATCCTATAGCATGGTTTCATATCATCACCTTAATTTTTTATTTTTTATAGTACACTTCCACTGTTACAGACTTCACATACCTAAAATATACATATAAGGGGATTCTATATATTCTAAACTTTATGAGAAATAAACAAGGAACAAGTGGTATCAAAGTAATTTCTTAAAGCAACATCAAAAAAAATCCTTTCTATAGCTAAAATAAAATACAACACGATGGTGTTCATATATTCAAGAAAAGATTCTATAAGAAAAGATACTGTCTTTTTGAGTCCTTAGAAAATGTGAGGGTCAAGAAGTCATTCACTGATACAAGCTTTAATAATAATTCCTTAAAAACTGATAAGTCTATGGTAATACCCCATAATCAGACTCTAAAATTTACCAAATACACCAGTCTCCACAATCAGGTTATATTCTAATTTATTATGCCTATAAATTGAAACTGAGTCACTGAAGTGCTTTTTTAATCAAATAAAGCAAACTTGTTAAACAGTAATGGGTTGTTTTCAAGAAATCTGTTGAGTAAAAGTTTAGATAATGTTCTTACTTTTAACTCTGGATTTTAATAATCTGGCTCAAAATGTTAACTAATAAAGCAGGTTCTATTTTGTTTTTGGTTTTGCTTTAAATAGAATTAAAAAAAATACTCAAGTATAGTGGTTAATGTTATTCTACCTTATAAAAATTACAACATAATGTTGCTTTTAAAGGTGAGGTAATATTCTTAAGAATT